TCCCCCCCCCCCCCCCCCCAACTACAATTTTGTGTATATTACTACTACGTAAGATCTGATTCGATGAATCAAATGTTACTGAAATCTGTTCAGGGTCTTATGCGTTATGTTACTACAGTAACATTCTTTGTACCTTCAATTATAGGAAACAATTCTGTATGTGTAAATGTTGTGAACAACCAATTCCAAGGAATAGGGTGCTTCTTGAGAACAGTCTCTCAGCTAGCCTTACAGTAAGCCTCTTTCATGAAACAATTAAACCAATCCACACCTTTCCCACGTATTTTGTCCATTTTTAAGTTTTTCTCTCTCTCATTTATGCTCGTGTCTTCTCAGTGGATTCGTTCCTTCGGTTTCTGACTGTCATTTTCTTGAATTTCTTATATCTCCCATGTATACTACATTACCAGCTCATATTTTCTCTTTTCTCCTGTAAATTCCACTTCTTGGGTCTAGATATTCAAAAAGTATGTTTAGAAGTGTGAAGTGACTCATTGAATCTTTGATATGGATAATAAAACATAATTATGCGCGTCTTTGTGAGAATGAAGTCATTTATCATACAACAAGACGAGTTTTTCTATCCGGTGTCCGTAGAAGTGTTCTGATTCCTTCACCCGATGTCCTTTCACTGCTCTTTCTACATTGTCATCAATTTTATACGTCTGTATGTGGCTTTCTTCTCGTAAACTTGTTCACAATACTTCTCAATCATGTTCACATCACGCGAATTTGTCTCTGTATGGCAAGTCCACTTCGTCGAAATTGATTTCTAGAAAAACATTACGAAACGTGCCATCTGTCAGTGTTGCACTGAACTACAGCATCTCACTTCACAGCATCATTTGTCCTATAGCATGACCGACAAACATCTATCCATGTACGCGGGTTAAACTTTTTATGAAACGTAATATCTAAATAGTTGTTAGCGACATAAGCATTACAGGCCGATTTGGGGCCCACAAAAAACTAACCACATTATAAATCGTATTAAAATGTTATTAACCCTTTCCATGTCAGGACTAAATTTTCCGGTTGAAATGGTTAGAACTTTTTATTTGTATCATGGAAGCCACAGTTCAGGATACTGAACTCGAAACTGGCCGTCCAGTCTGAGGGATTTTGTCGTTTTTCTCAGTCTGTCCAGAAAAATAATGAAATAGTTAATTAACATAGGCCACAATTACTTTCATACTCTGTCTACATTATCATAAATTATCTTTTTACCCGATATCCAGACAACTTATGATAGAGCTGCTTATTGCCGGAGTTTATGAAATGGGAAAGTGTCGTTAAATAAAACAATATCAATCCATGCCACGAATAATGTAATTCTCTTTGTATGCTTTTAAATGTATGGTATCTGACAGTGTCAAAAATTGAAATATTTTTTCTTCTTACACTTGAAGCGAATAGTTTGTATGTATTCATTGACAAAATTTACAGAATGAACAAAGATAAATTATAAATGTCTATTTCGCCACATGTAATAATAAACCGAGAATCAACTGGTACTAGGTAATAACATTTTTCCCACGTAAATAATAGTTACACTCTCAGTTCGCACAAATTTGATGGAATTACTTTTTTACCTTTATTTTAGATACAACTTTTAGCAGAGCTGCGATTTTCCTGGAATTTATGCAACTTTCTCTACATATTATCTTATAATCATAATGGATTATTTGTTTTATAAATGGTCATTAATAACAATCTTTGAAAGAATACAAATTCGTTCATTCATCATAGTATTAATCTTTACTTTTTAAAAATATTTAATTCATTTTACGACAAAAGTCAGAATAAATTTCTCTTGCCATTACTCCAAAGGGTTTAGGGTAATCACAGATATTCGTTTCGTCTAAATCAGGCCATCGGTAATTGTTCCATATTGTGTCCATGTAATTCCGATGTCTGATTATGAGGTGAATGCTGTAATATTTCTTCCAGGTCTCCCACCTGTCCCATATATAAAGCCTGTCACTTAGAGTGTGCACCCCAAACAGAGTTTTTACTGCATGAACCAATTCGGGTCTGTATCTCAAAACTTCCTCCACAGGTTTCTCACCAGCGTTGTAATACCAGTCATCCGGTTTGTAATCTCTGTATAATTCTAGCCAGAGTTTTAAAAATCTTGCATCTTTATTTGCTATTAAAACTTGTGTCCCTGTCTTATTACCGTCAGTAATTCCAATTGCCATTTCGTATTTTCTGAACGGATCTAAGCTACGTACAATATAAGAATCATTGTCAACGAATATTCCTCCATGTTCCATGAGGATTCTTATTCTTGTGACGTCACTAGCATGCCAGAGGTGAAAATTTTTACTAAATTTTTGTCCAAATATTTCATTTGGTAACGTGATGTTCCTAATCTCCAAAACAGAACCCAAAGTGTCTCTTATTTTGATCCAGTGTGTTCCAGTAAATTCTATGACATTTGTATGAAAGATTATTTTTTCTGGTTGTTGATTTTTAAATGCTGCTAACACACACACGGCATGTACGTATGGAATGTAAGTTTTGTCGAAGAACAGAAAATGTACGTGATTTGGGACTATGGTCGAACCATCACTTGTCCCCGTTTCGTTGTCAAATCCTTCAAATATACTTCCATCTACTTTAGCAAACAGGTCAGGATCATAGGGTCGAGATTGTGGTTTTGTTTCGCTGCTACCTTTCCATGAAAGTAGTAAAACAATCAGAAATATAATTACAACTAGACCAGCCCGACATAGTTGCCTTCTTGTTATCATTGAAGTCAGCATCAGTTATATCTGAAAAAACAGAACACACTTAAGAAATACAGAAAAAATATGCCTACAAATTCCTCCATCATCAGGGCTCCCGGAGGCAGCAACGATATCTGAAACGTCGGTAAACTTTTACCATACTACACGACCCAACAACCCAGTAGACAGCCATCTTCAGACTCACCGCCGTAAGAACCTCAAATCCTACACGTGGAAAGACATCATAGATTTATCAGCGATAATGAATAGAATTTTGCAAGTTTTAGTTCACCATATCACCATATCATTTGTCTAAATTTAGCTCAAACAGCGTCATATCCATGATAACATGTTTCCGATTTCTTATCAAATCACTTATCTTACCTTGATGAAGATAACATTAATAAGTATAAGAATTTATAGTGCACCGTTTTCAGAACAAAAGCTAATATTCCTAATGTAACAAATCCTGAAACCTTCCAGAACGCAAATCATTAACAACACTCGTTCCCTCCCCTCTGAATATTTTCACCACCTCTTAAACTTTCATCTGAGTCACACAATTATTGCCTCGTCGGACTTTGTGCGTTAGAAAATTTAACTAGTTTCCACAACCTCTGGCCACAGAAATCATATCACACGTTGTAATTCTTCTGTGGTAAATTCTGTTAATGGAGCAGCAATGTTAAACGTGGTTTATAATTATCACTGCTCAAAGTCAGTGGAAACCAAGCAGGTAGAAATGATCAAACGTTTATATTGTTTAATTATATACTCCATCTTATTTAGTTCTGTCAAGATTTAAAATCATGCATACAATCTAAACTGTTTACACTTGAAAGGACACTAATGCCAAATGCGTTTCGATCTCAAGATGTCATCATCAGTGGCACTGCACGGTATACAAGGTTTTAAGATCTGTCAGAATTTGTTTTAGAGTAAACTAGAATTTCTTTCTCAATTTACCTCGTACCAGGCAAAGATTACAGAGATAAAACGAGGTTTAATTTGCAGTTTATGTTTACGTTTCCACATATCAACACTCAAAACTTCAAGATTCTGCCGAGAAAGACGATAACTTTTGCATCCTCACGAAGTCACACTTAATATATTTATTTTTCTTAAAAGGGAATTAAAATTTCCCATACTGAATTCATTTATTTGACGACTATTGTATCGATTTCCGGAATCCTTTCACTTATCGTCGTCGTCTTTTACATAGAGTGACAGCGTCCGTACAGACAGGCGGAGCTCATTGTGACGGTTGCTTCACAACAAGCAATTTACTGTAATATTTATATTTGCTAATGACAACGAAATAATGGATTTTATAGAATGACGTTTGATATATCCTTCATTTAAAGTTTATGAGATAAACATGATTTTTTGTTAGTCCATCCATCTGCCCTGATATTTCGGCCCTGAAAATACTAAATTAAATTGACGAAACTTGGCGTTTGGGGGCAAATACTAAATTCTGTAAGCGATCATAATCAATACAATAATTGTTTTGCATATACTTAAAATATATTTTTATGCGCCTCCTGAAAATCATACGTAACAAATTGTAGCCTGTGCGAGCAGTGATGCTTGTTTAAAACATGTTTTGTGTAGTTTTTATGTGAGAAAATTAAAACAGTAATTTAAGCATTATAGTGTAAGGTTCTTTAGCTCTGATATATTTTATGCGTGAAATTTATTATATTTCGACAAAGTCCAGTGGTTATCTATTTTATGATGGCGCTGACGTCTGTAGCTAACAAACAGAATGGCGAGATTGTATAGTAAAGCGTTGCGTTGAACCAATAATACTACTGTCGTCACATAACCATTCGCCTTTCTTTGCTTTTACACCAAAGCCAATGAGGCGTTTCATATCCAAACCAACTGAGGCCTGCTTGGAAAATCTGCATACTCCAAATTATAATATGCTTAAATCTTTATCTGTATCTTACGTTTAATGAGGATATTTTGCGGCTGGGCTGTTGGGATTAGCAATGCGGCAACCAACGCAGTGGCTTCGTATGTCGGGAAGGCTGTTCCACGTCGTGACGTTCCCCAAACAGAGCCCCCAAATATCCTGACTGTATTTGAGCTGTGGAAACATGGTTATGTTAATATTTTTCCGTGTAGCATTTCAATGAGACACCTGGCTTCGTGTTATCATTCTACCAACTGTCGTTAGTTTACTTTGACTTGAGAATTTATGTTTTTTAAAACAGCTTGTATTTCGTGAATTGGGTTTGATTTTATGAAAATATTTCCTTTCGTTCATTATTTGAAACGTTGAAATTATATGGATTTTTGTCATATTTCCAACATTATATGTTTATAAAAAATAAATGATTTGTCACATATGAAACTATAAAATGGTGTGATCGGTATAGTGCCTGACTGGTGAAATTTGCGTGTAGCTTCACGATGTGTTTCGTTTGGTGAAAAGGGAATTTTGATTCGTTTCCTGTGGGTCCATTGGTGAACATGCGACTGTGTCAGTAAACCATTGAAAGAGTTCAGTCGTTAAGTGAGTCAATGACCAAGCGTATATCAACCAGGTAATTACAGTGTCAAAAAGGGTATTGTGCTTGAAATAAAATAATTTCCTTATGGTGCCTTACCATTTCTTTATTTCAATATCTTGATGTTGTTATAAAACGAAATGTGTTGCAATCCTATATATCTGAAGGGCACCGAAAGAGCAGAGGACATTTTGAGTAAAATTAATAGCAAATCTGCGTTATGTAAAATGTTGACTACTGAAATAAACTTCGTTTAACTTGATTATGTTGTTCTGGGATTTAGCGCCGTATTGACCGACGAGTCTACACGGCACTAAAGCCCGGAATAACATAATTCAATTCAATTCATTTATTTATAATAATAATAATAATAATAAGTCACTCAGAAAATATTTGGCCAACATCCCGGGCGAACACGACATCAGGGAACTGCAGAAGACCGCAATTTTGGGATCTTCATACATCATTCGGAAGATGCTTTCAGAAAATAAAATTATATAATACATGTGGCACTTACTAAAAACAATATGGATCCCGGAAATAGCTGCTGCCCTATGTACCTTAGGGACAAGGTCTGTCTCGGATACATGAAGTACATACCCCATAAAGTGGTGAATAGATGGGATAATAATAATAATAATAACAGTCATCCTCACCGCTGCTAAAACCTCGAATCCCAATGATTTGACACGTTGACAAAATTCAGAAAAACTTACTTCCATAATAAATTTTGAGGTACAAACCGACTAGAACAAAAAATTGAGAACAGCCATTGAACAGGAGAGTTACATAAGGGAGGTTGGACCAAGTGAACAGATGAAAAAACTTGCAACTGGTAGAAGGTGATAAAACATATCTGTAATGCCCATTTATGTCTTTATCAATCTCTAAAGAAACTAAGTTCAGGGTCCTACAGATCGATTTGTATTCACAGTCTGCACCAACATTTATATTACTCCCACTTACATTATAATCGATTTTCGATACTGTACCACCTAGCCTGTATTACGTCACACGAAGGGTGTCTTCTGAGTTGGTTCATGATAAGCTATAAGATAAGATATCGGAATGAGAGCCTGGATGTGGTGATGAATGTATTTTTTTCAGAGGTAATCACAAAACTATTCATTATAGGGTCCCCAGAATTGTTGTAAATAATTTTTTTAATAAAATCACATAATTACCTTCCATAGGAAGGATTCTTTACGCATCACAAGTAGTTACAAACAATTAATAACGTATAATTTATACTATTGAAAGCTGGCGAACACATTCTTAATTTATTTAATCTTCTCACACCAAATCAATGCAGACCACGAAGTGAGATGTACCTTGCGTAACATCGTAAGTATCAGCTTTTAGGGTGACAAACATTCTGAACTTCGTAAATGCACAACTGACAACGAACAATACACTTTTATTTTCACTAAATAGTCTTAAAATCTCTTTCAGTAGCACTAGAACACATCACTGTCGGCGAACTGTTGAAGTGAATCATTTCAAAAACTTTCTCTATGAAATGATATGTAGTATTATGTAACATTGTGTTGTTTCTGACAAAATTCTGAGTACACTTCTCTTGCCATTTCTCCGAACGGTTTGTCATACTGACATATGTTCGTTTCATCAATACTTGGCCACAGTAGGTAATGCCACCATGTCTCAACATCTCTCCTGAGCCTAATGACGAGGTGTATACTGTAATATTTTCTCCAGTTTCTCCACGTGTCCCAGGTATATAGCCTATCAGTAAGTCCATGAACACCCAACAGAATCTTCACAGTGTGTACGAGTTCCGGTCTGAAAGCCAAAATTTCCCTCATTGGCTTTTCACCAGCGTTCATATACCAGTCTTCAGGGTGATATATTCTGTAAGATTCTAACCAGAGTTTTAAGAACCTCGCATCCTTGTGAGCTATGAAAACTTGTGTACCTAGATAATCAAAATCAGTGATTCCAATTGTCATTTCATATTTGCGGAATACATCTAAACTGCGAACAATGTAGGAATCATTATCTAAAAATATCCCACCATATTGCATAAGGACTCTGATTCTAGTGACGTCACCGGCGTGCCAGGGAAGCCATTCTTTTCTCAGCTTCTGTCCAAATATAGTTGTAGGCATATCAATATGCCTTATTTGTAACACAGAACCTAAAGTATCCCGTATCTTCAACCAGTGAGGCCCAGTGAATTCTTCTACATTTGTGTGAAAGAATATTTTATCTGGCCGTTGATTCTTGAACGCTGCCAATACACATACTGCGGTAACGTATGTTATATAACTTTTTTCAAAAAATATGAAGTGCACGTAGTTTGGAACGATGTTGGTGCCATCTGGTGTTCCTGTATTATTATCGAATCCTTCAAAAATACTTCCTTCGATTTTTGCAAATAGTTCAGAATCGTATGGAAGAAATATTTTCTTTGGAGACGGTGGTTGCAGTACATAAAATGTGACAATGAGTAACACAATAATTACTGCAATGAACGCTTGAAGGCGTCTCTGTGCCAGTAACTTCATAATCATTCCACTGATGACTGTCCGTTCTTTTGTATCTGAAGCAAAGAGAGAGAAAAAACATGATCTTGTGATCTTGGGATGTCGACTGGTGTATGTTGTCATAATATTGAAGACTTTGATGGATTTTAAAGTTGACTATTTCCACTTGAAAACTTGTATAATTGGGATGTCATTGGATGTCTGTCCATACATCTTGGAAGATACAATGGGTCTAAGTATTTTTTTTTTTTCCAAATTGTTAGTTGGTTTAGGAACGAATTCAGAAAGATAATGAAAGAATCGAACTCAAATGCATTAGTCTGTCACATATTTTAAAAAATTATTTGCAAACTCGTGTGCCACAGATCTTTATGCATGTTTATTTATTGAAGACGTAAATTATAATTTGATGTCTTGTACTGAGGTCTTGTGGTAGAAATTAGGTGTAAACATTACGTACGATTTGAGGTTTTAACGGCGCTGAATCCGAAGATGGCTGTCTCCTGGTGTGTAGTGCCATGTAGTCTGGTATAAGTTTACCAATGTTTCAGAAGTCCTTGCTGCGTCCATCATCAGGGCGGTGAGTACTCATCTGGTAAACGTCTACTAGACTACACGGCCCTACAACTCAGAAGACAGCCATCTTAGGTGTAAAATTTTTTTAACATAGAATATACAAGGTATACTGTTTAAGGTTAGCGAGTATATGCAGATTAAATTTTCCTTGAAGGCCGATTTATTGACTACTCTAGACATGTTATCAAGAATTGACACACTTTTAGGTACATATAATTTTCTAATTTGAAGTGACAAAAATATTAACATTTATTATTTAAATTTCTTCTTCTTGTGCTGAATTCTGTGGGCAGATTATAAGCACTAACACTAGCTAACGAATGTTCAGCAGATCGTATTTTGTTTGCTGTGTACTTGTCTGTATAATTTGGTAATAATTTTTTACATGTTATTTCGTTAAATATATACCACATCAAAACAAATTTCAAATTTAAGTTGTGAAATTTTAATCCGGGAATCAGAAGAGAAAAACTAGTTCGCAGATCTAGGAGGATGGTATTATGATCTGACTTAAAGAAATATAATGAGAGGATTTGGACTTATTTGTGTGAAAAATTATATGGTTCAGTAGCAGGATTTTTGTGAACACGATAATGTACATTTGGGCTGAAGCTGACTATATTAGCAATGCACTTAAAAGATTTGTTCAATAACTCAAGAATTAATACATTCATGTTAGCTAACATACACAGTTCAGGAGGCGTCGTTAGATTAATTAAGATAGTAAGAACTGGAAATACGCACCGTCTTTAATATCCACTTCCGGGCAACTACTTTGAAATGTACTCCGTTACGTAGTGCTTATGAGATGAATCCAGTTTATTTTTTAGACTGTATATAATCATACTATTTTCCATGCAATCATATAATAATTTCTTCAGACGCATGAAAACATTTATCGTGTTTGAAATACATTAAAGTGATTTTCACACGTTTCGCCACAATTGTCTTTCTATGCCTTCACTACTTTTCTTGCTGATAAAAGCTAAACGCAAAACATATCTTGAGCAAACAATTGACGAAATTTCGTGAGATTCTAGCAGTTTTCAGTCTTCTTCTTCTTCTTCTTCTTGCGTAGTAGTCGACACTAGAAACCAACTTCACTCTACAAAGTAACCAAGCTAACTGAAAGAAAGTATCACAAAATAATTTATGAACGTAATCATTCTTATCTCTTTTTTCTAGTTATGGTTTCAAGTTGATCAAATAAGCTACGCAGTTTATGATAACATTGAGATTAGATCCTCTACAACACTGGGAGATGAACAGGTGATAGATGCACCTGAATTCCTAAAAAAAAAAAAAAATCTTTATTTTCCAAATCTCAATGCGAGATATGTATTGGTCGGATACTTTTTGGTGATAACAGTTGTACTGAGGAAGCGACAGATATGTAAGTAGATACAACATTCTTTGTACTAAATGTATAAAATTATAATGGCGAGGTTGTGTCCGTCGGTCCGTCCGTCCTGTGTGACCTCATATTACAATATTTAATTACGGACTTTGACCTTGTAGGCGAAATTTATTCTACTTTTTATCGTGTTCATATAAAACCTAATACATCTGTATGAAGGCCAATTTTTTTTTAAAATTTTTATAGAAAAGCAACTCATCACAGTCTATAGATTATTGGAATAATTACATTACGTGAAATATATATATCTAAAATTTTTATCGGAACATTTCTCTATTTGGTAGGGGAGGACGGGGTACGTTGCAACATGTTTCAGATTTGATTTTATCAGTTATGTTTAGCAATTATAGTAACACTAGTGATGTATATGAATCACATATTCTTTGTGGGCATATACAAAAATTTTAACGATTATATTAGAATAGTATTCAAGTAGTAACATTGCGAAAAAAAATATATAATTGCTGTAAATTACCTAGAGAGTGATTCATGTTGCAACAACGTAGGAAGATGGCTGTGTTCTGGGTTTCTGCGCCGTCTAGTCGGGTAGAAGTTTACCGACGTTTCAGAGGTCCTTGCTGCCTCCATCATCAGGCTAGACGGCGAAACAACCCAGAAGACAGAAAACTTCGGACTCACCGCCGTGAAAACATTATATCGTTCACTTGTTACATAGATTCCTGATATGCATGAACCCGTTTATAGTGGCGCATTTTCGAGTGGAATTAGCGTGATATTTTTCATAAATTGCTGGGTCATTCTTAGCACATATTACGCCGTACCCTAACGAGAATGTTGTTGACTAAACCGATCGCCTTACGCAAATGATTGGCAGAGGAAGCAGAAAGAAGTCTTACTTAAAACTACGTTTAACAGAGTTCTTAACAAGAACAACGTTCGTCCCTAGTTGCAATGTAACCCCGTTTTCCCTACTACGATTCTTAACAAAATACAAGGATATGCTTTTCTAATTCATGCAGCGATGTTCGCTGATCCATAGCAGAATTTTTTGACGTAAATACGTCTATATTTTATGGTCAGTGTCATTCGGCAAAAATGTGTAACGAAAATGTGTTACGAAAAAGTGAAAGGAAAAAGTGTAACTGCATTGTTATGTTACCTAGGAAACGTCATCTGTTTACTCGGCATTGTTGTTACCTATAAAACATTTCATTACATTACCTTACCTTACATTACATTACCTTACATTACATTTCATTACATTAAAATACCACAGACCCATCTTAAGCGTAACTAATTCAAGTTAAATAAGCAATGTCTTAATCAAACTTTACTCAACTGTAAAGCATGTATGACGTATTTACGTCAAATTCTCCGGAACCGTGGTTCCACTGACAACTTTTTTTTTCAGAAATCAGAGAATATTAAGGCCAACGATCTCATGCAATATTACTGCAAAATATGTATATTCCACTGGACCTCAACTTTACATTCTGTAACTTTTAAGGACGGCAGTTTGGATTTCATTTACCTGTGCTGGACATATAGCATGCATGGAGTAGATTAGAAATACGTACAAAATTTTGGTCTTATCTGAAAGGAAGAGGCAACTTTGAAGGCATACTTAGACGGCAGGGGGGTGTGAATTTGTGGACTGGATTCAATCAATTCAGGATAAGAACCGATGTTGCTCTTATGAACACGGTAGTGAATATTAGGGTTTTATAAAAGCGTGGTTTTTTAATTAACTGAGTGATTATTATCTTCTGAAGAAGGCCTCCCACCCATTCAGTCATTTATCCCTTTAAATCCCAGTAGAAACTAACTTTGTCACCTGCCTTAACATTTAATAACTCTGCATTCTGTACTTCCGGGTTTCATTTGATTCTCACTGTTAACAGTATTTATCAGTTGATCTTTGTAATGGTGAAGTTTTGTGTTTTCTTCGAGGTACGGACTGAAATTTTAAATATTATTTGGACGAACTTCAGCTTTAAAAATTAGTGCCGCTTTATCTACTCTCTTCGGCTTCAAAGGGCTTATTTCGTCTCTTCTCCTACTAAATGTCTTACCCTTGCTGCACAGAAGTGGATCTTTAAATTGTACAGTTATTAATTTATGCTTCCTGCTAGACTGACTGTGCGCATTAAAGCATTGAAGGAAAAGGAGGCGTAGTAGTTCTTCCAATAATTTATTGTATTTACTTGACATCTACGCAGAATTGTTTCAAGCGCCACCTGAAATGTTGTAAGCAAAATTTATGCTTTTGTAAGCATACTACTAAATTCTGTCAAAACTTCCTGAGATTTGACGTTCTCAACCTGAAGATGTACACAATACGTTTCTCCTAATCCTTGTTAAAACATACAAGACATTGTGGCTTCACAGCCCAGAACATCACAATCGACATTTTTTAAAAATATTTTTCAGTCTTTTTGTTTTGTTTTCATTAGTCTTAATTAGCATCACATCGCCCCCGAGTTTTATACGAGACTATTTCAATACTGCTGGTCTGTGATGTCACATAATCGTGAAATTGTAAGGTCATGTTTATCTTTTCACGAGCACTATTGTTTTTTTTCTTTATTCTTTTTTTTTTACATAATACGCCGCTTTCTAATTTTCTTGCGTTTCTTTGTACTTATAAAGGAGTCCCTCGGGCAGCTGTTTCCGTCAGGAATTTCATAATGAAAATGAAAATCCTGTTTTCAAAGAATAATATTTGAAAGATTCGTAGTGTAATAAAACATACAATTCTGTTTATTCACATTCTTACAGAGTTACAATTCACATAATTTAGAACTGAGAAGTGATATTTCCACAGAGTTACAATTCACATAATTTAGAATTGAGAAGTGTTATTTCGTTTTAAAGGGAAGTTTTCATCGGTCTACCAACCAACAGATTTCGTAACTCCTTACTATAGCCCGTTTCCTCTTTTTGACGTTGTGGGTGTCCCTTTAATAATGAAGCTCTGGAAATCAAAACTAGTGAACCAACTAACAAATACTGCAATATCTGAAAAGGAATATGTATGAAGTAATTAAGAGAAGCCTGTTGCGTAGTATAACAGAGCGTTTTCAATAGATATGGAAATCTTTCCTGCATTCTAGTTGTATTATTTTTCCATGACTGTCGGAAATTGATGTGCCTCGGCGGTTTCAAAATGTCTTGCCGTGACCGATTCACCAAAACACGTACGATCGCCGTGTTCTCGTGGAGAAATTTACTGGGAATAAATTTTTGAAACGTTGTCTGCATTGCTCATCTTCATTTTATATCAAATCAATTTAGTTACTCAAAAGAATATAATTTCAAGAAAAAAAAATGTATGTAGAATTCGTCATACTTATTGTTCTACAATGTCATGCCTATATGTACGATTAAAACATAGCCTTCAATATTTTCATTTCTAAACCGAGTTCAATGAATTGCTCTAGTCTTGAAATATGTGTTCTAAACAGATGAATACATACATTCAGTTAATGAAATAGATATTTTAATAAACTAAACCAATATACATGTCATCATCGTCATATAGTGAATTAGCGAATCTAGTCTAGTTTTTAAAAAGACCACCGTTAGCTTCGTGGCGCAGATGACAGCGGTCAGCAACTAACTGATTGACAAGCGGTCAGCAAAGTTCCTGCTATGGATATATACTTACCGCTGTCATCTCTGCCACGAAGCTAATGGTGGTTATTTAGAACACTTATACTAGATTCGCTAATTCATAAAGTGCCAATGTTGACGTATGTAATAGTTTAATTTATAAAAATGTTTTTGACGTAAATACGTCTATATTTTAGGGTCAGTATCATCGGCAAAAATGTGTAACGAAAAAGGGAAACGAAAAAGTGTAACTTCATTGTTATGTTACCTAGGAAACATCATATGTTTATCAACAAATAAACAACAATGGTTACCTACATACTTACCTTACCTTACCTTACATTACCTTACCTTACCTTACATTACATTACTTTACATTACATTAAATTCAGCTACCACAGACCCATCTTAAGCGTAACTAATTCAGGTTAAATAAGCAATGTCTTAATCAAAATTTACTCAATTGTAAAGCATGTATAAAGGAAATATTTAGAATGAAGCCAATATATAAACTTCCTTTCCGTATAGACGTATTTACGTCAAATTCTCCGGAACCGTTGTTCCACTATCACTTTTAATTAATGAATGCATGCATGCATCTTCTTGGGACACATTGTGTTTCTGATAGGTCTAACTAACCCTTTAAAGGTAGAAGAGGGAGGATTTTTGAAGAGTGGGAGGAATGAGAACAGTTACGGGGAGAGAGACTTTATTTATTGAGGGAAAAAAACATTATTTTGTTAGAAGGTGACTAGGCTTTGCCTACTTGTCTTTCTGTTGAGGACAGAATAGGAATTACGTTACGATGATAAGAATTTTAAGATTGGGGCAGAGAGCAGAATTTTGATTTTATGTTAATTGTATGATAAAATAATTATTCTGAATCTCCAAGCTAATTTACGTAATACTTAAAAATTCGGATCTTATCTCAAAGAAAACACTACACATCTCATTGCAAAGATCAACAAGGAAACAATTTGATTCTGAGAAAATTTTAAACTCTTAAATATGGAAAATTCAAAGCTATTACATGTTAAAGTAGGTGGTACAGTACGCGTAGTTACCACTCAGTTTTTTTGGGGGGGAGGATAAACAATTGCTTCATGAGCTGGG